TTGCTTTTAGTACATTATTTAAGTTCATATTTCGCGTGAACTGAATTAATTAAACTAGGAGAAATTTTATATATTTTAGCAATGTTTCTTACAAATAGAATTTATTAATTTAATACAATACATGTAAAATAACAGCATTTAATTTCACTAGAAACTTAACTCAGAAACTTCTCGTTCTACTGACAGTAGGACAGGAAAAAGAGGTTTATAGCTGCAAAGTCACCGAATTCGATCCAACTTTTACTAGTGAACTTATTATTAGAGTGAAAATAAGCCGATCTCTATCTAAATGTTTTATTTGAAGCGTATTATTTTGCAAATATTTAATTTCGAATTTTTCGTAAAATAACCTGTAACAACGTATTACACTCGTGGCAGAGATTCTGGTGAAGATGTGAGAAAAATAGTTATATTAGTAAGAAAAATTCATTGTAATCCTAACTTTCGTTTGAATTTGTAAGACTGAGGATTATTAAATATAATTAATCTGTAACAAATTAACTTTTGTTACCTGATACAGTACTAAAACAGTAAATGGCTCACGCTTAGGTGCTTAGTCAGAAAAGAAATCATAGGTTAAGGGGTTAATACGTGCTGTATTACTCAATTTTTTAATATAACTATTAGAGACGAAGTGAGTATGGTTTTAGCGTTACAATTTGAACATCACATTTGAATTCCATAAAGAAGGTACTGCTTCTTTTTAAATCTTTTGTTTATTTAAACGTCATTCTGGTTAATAACAATCGTAATTTACCATTGTTGTACTATTTTTTAACGTTATTACCTATTACTTACTTTCAAAACTGTTGCTACGTTAAAATAACGTTTCCTTTACAGTTAATTCCTAATTTTTACTAACATTTTAGTAATGTTTTCACAGATGATGGCAATTGTATTTTCAACTACAGAAATTACTGCTCCTTATTGCACTGCATACTGTCAACCATGTGACGATAAAAGAAAAATACTTTTAACTTTTAATGTACATATTACGCACAGTTCGAGTATTTTTTTATCAAACCTCATAAATCAATTTTCGTTTCGGTAATATTCTAATAAGTGAATTATTATTATCATTATTTGTGTTATTATTATATCGTCTGTATTATGCTATAATGATATACAAATAAGGTATAAAAGTATAAATAATATTACATAAATTGCTAAATAATGAACAGTAACATTTAAAAGTATAAACTACAGTAGCAACAAATTACGATTATTACTAAGTGGAATGGTATATAAGTAAACAAGGATTTTAAAAAGGAAGAACTTCCATCACAGGATTCAAAACGTAATTTTCGAATTATTATTTATCACCATATTTGTCACTTTCATATTTATTTACTTTACTACCATTTCATACTTACTACAGATGTATATATATTAAAAAATGTAGAACAGTGCAATATATATTATGTATATCGAAGATAAAATATTTGAGTTTCTTTGTAAATAATGTGAATTAACTAGGACATTAGAGTATGGATAGTCTCTACATATTCCACAGCCTCTCCTTCTAAATTACTGTTTATTAGATTCTTCAAATAATATAAATCGAGCCCAAGAATTAAATGTTCATTATTCTCTCCTTTTACATCAATTTAAAAGTAACGGTTCCTTCATTACACATACATATGTTACAATACAGTTGCTAATAGAACATTGGATATTACTAAGTATGTAAATACACGAATGATAAGTTAGAATAATAAACAATCTTACTAATTATCCTTGAAAAATGATGATGTAAAGAACTTCAAAATTTTAAAAAATATTTATGTTTGTGTCGTTCCCAGTTTCACTTTATGTCACTATTAAGTTTACGTTAAAATTTTTTTACGTTGTGTCGTTCTTAATTTCACTGTATGTTTCACTATGTGTATGTTTTCCAGTTTCACTCTACCTAAGTAAACCCAAGTATACAGAATGTTGCGTTTCTTGTTATATAGTACTCTGAGCACGGAATGATTTTACATATTGATGTTACAAATACAATGATACATAACATGCATGTAATATAAGTACATCTTGTATGTACATATTACATAATGGAAGGTGAGGTTTCTCAAATGATTCGACAATCTTCATTAATTTCCAGTAATTAGCTGTGTCACATCATCAATTTAATGTACCTATACTGATATCACTTTTAAATAACTCTTATTAGCAGAATATAATTTGTTTCTCAAAAACATTATTTATGGTAATAATATACGAATAGTTGTAAATAGTATGTAGTTTTTATGAATTTTTTCATAAGCCGTCGCGTATTTCGCCTAAGGGGGTCTTCTAGTGTGACGGTTTCAAAAAATCGATTTCTTTCTTTTTCCATATATCGAAAGTACAACTCTTTAAAAATGTGTTCCTAAAATTTTATAGTTGTATTCGATAAAATAACGAAATTATAGCTCGTTTAGTGTGACACATCAAAGGCCGGGATAGGGAGAATGAAGTTTCGCAACAGTAAACCGTAGTAATCTGTACATATACAGTGACTCTTCCTAATATTCGGACACTCTTGAGAACAGTATAACTTTTTTCAAATTGGATCAAACGACTTGAGTTTCTTTGAGAAGTTAAAAGGATTAGTATACTAGATGACGTGTATAAAATTTTTTGAAAATATTGCAATTTGTGGGAATCACGAAGAAAATTGTAAACGTCACTGTTTACAACTGTTTTACCTGAGCTTGTAACGAAAATTTAAAACATACGTTTTGTAGATTTATGTCAATTATACACATGCTGAAAATTTCATCGAAATCGGTAGATGGAGAAACAAGCGACAGGCATCGAAAGATGTAGGAATCTTCAGATTTATTACAATTATAGGCCGAACGACGTGAAATAGTGCGATTTTCACAATCTTTAACGATTTGTAGCTCATAGTAACATTAACCGATTTCGATAAAATTTTCAGCATGCGTATAATTGGCATAAATCTACAAAGCGTATTTTTTAAATTTTCATTACGGGCTCAGATAAAAAAGTTGTTGAATGTGACCTTCACAATTTTCTTCGCGATTCCCACAAATTGCAATTTTTTCAAAAAATTTTACACGCGTCATCTAGTATACTAAACCTTCTAACTTCTCAAAAAAACTCAAGTCGTTAAGTCCAATTTTAAAAAAGTTATACTGTTCTGAAGAGTGTCCGAATATTAGTAAGAGTCACCGTATGTGCAATTTACTTGGATTTGTGATTGAGGTTCGGAAAAGTGTATTTACAATAATAATAATAATAGTTTATTAACACAAGTAGAGAAATCAAATAAAAATCAATGTCCACGTTAATTATAATCCATCCTCTTCTTTTTTGGCAGTAATTATATTTAATAATGAATTTTTGTCCATTCTTAAAGTATTATTAGTAATGAGGGTAACAATTGGTGAAGAAATTGAAATGTATGTGAACTATTGTAACAAAACTCGTATCAATCGCTCGGAACAACGCATAAGTGACTTCACTAAAAAGGCAATTCACTAATAAAAAAAAATAGATTTTGACTTCATATAGCTGCCATTTTGACAGGACACATTTTATATGTTTCATTTTGGCACGGGCTATAGCCACACCCATACAGATTAAGATTATCTTTGATTTTTTCATTTCAGATGAATACAATCGCTTGAATGATGTAAGACATCCAAAATGACACATGACGGGAAACATTTAATAACATGAATAAAATTAAAGATAAATGAATAAAAATTATACAGTATCTTTTTGAAATAATACCCCAACCTGTATACAAAACAATAAGTTTCTTGGACTATAACAATTCGATAAATTTCTCTCTTAAAGATCACCAAAAAACGACGATTCTAATGAAGAATACCCCCTTAATATTGTACATTTCTACGGAACAGTATTTCATTGACGTATTCTTATATTGTCAAACTGTATAGAAATCGTATTTATCAACAAAACGTAAAATCGCATTTTTGAAATGTGAGTTCAAACGAAAGTGCGCACGCAAAATCATGAAATAAATAAAGATTAGAGTTGATAATTCCATCGCATCTTGAGACTAAGTAAGTAGCACCCTCTAGGATTTCCAATTGCAACGATATTAAAATCTCGATTGGAAAGAGCCTTGTGACAAAATTTATTATTAAATGATTTATATATACACATATATAAGTATATGAATATTACTATCCTATATAATTAAGATTAAGATTATTAGGCATATGTAATTTTACATAGA